TCTGCCTGCCTCTGACTCTAGAGTGATTCTGGATTAAAGGCACGGGCCACCACCACCACCTGACTCCAATAAAAATTCTTAAATATGTATCCTTCCTAAAAATACTTTTTGTTAAATTCTTTTTTAAAATCACTGTTAGTGCTAATGATAAATTCTTTAGAACTGTATTTATAGCTTGGTGTGATGCCTCTAATCCCAAAACTTGAGGGGAAGAAGCAGGCAGCTCTCTGAATTTAAGGCCATCCTGGTCTACATGGTAAATTATAGGCCAACCAGAGCAACATAGTAAGATCCTGTCTCAAAATAATAATATAAATACATAAATAATATATTTGTAAGCATTTTGTATGTGTGTGTGTGTACAAGAGAGAGAGAGAGAGAGAGAGAGAGAGACAGACAGACAGACAGACAGACAGACAGACAGGGTCTCATTATATAGCTCTGGCTGTCCTGGAACCAGCTCTGTAAATCAGGCTGGCCTTAAACTCAGAGATCACCTGCCTCTGCTCCTGAGTGCTGGAATTAAAGGGGTGTGCCACCACTCACTCCCAGACTGTAAGCAATCCTGGTATATGTTTTCCAATAAATGAAAGAAGATGCTAGGGGATGTGGCAATTTGACTCCTAAATTCACTGCTGTTGGGCTCTCCCATGCTGCGCAGACTACCTTGAGCAAAAAGATTGTTAGACAGCTGGACTAATCTTAAACTGCCCTAGCTGTTTTGAACACTCCAAAGATGTCTTGCGACAACTGAACGGACTGCAGCTGACTGCCTTTCTGTGTAGCATGAAGGCACAACCTTAGCCAGTGCTGTTCGAAATAGTTTGTATAAGACTTTTTGCGATCACAAGCTTCTATGAACTCTAGATTATTCTTTCCACCATTTCCCCTGGTGGTCTTCAGAGAACGCTGTGATGGGGCTATGAGGCAATAATGTGATTGGTTCAAACACCCTTTCCTGGGCTATATAATATTTACATATACTCAGAGGGAAAGAAGCAGTATAACACCTGGCAGTGGTGGTGCACACCTTTAATTGCAGCACTTGGGAAGCAGACACAAGCAGATCTTTGTGATTTTGAGGCCACCCTGATCTATAGAGCTAGTTCCAGGACAGCTAGAGAGAGCTGTTACATAGAGAAAGCCTATCTCAAAAAAAACCAAAGACAAAAGAAAAAAGAAAAAGAAGCAGCAGTGTAACAATGGTGGTGGAAGATAAGTTGTGGGAGAGGTCAGGCAGCCAGCTGTCTGACAGCTGAAGAGGCAGCAGCTAAACCTGAGCAAGAGCCAGTGCAAGAAGAGCAATCAAGACAGGGAAACAGAAAGAACAGAGTAGAAATCTTGAGATGTCAAGTGTTTGAGAGCATAGTCTCAGATCCCACATTTGACAGCTAATAACAGTGGCAGCTACCAGGGGCTGAGGAATGCCAGTATGTCAGGCCTGGACAAGTACTGCCCACTTGCCTACTGCTAACCCTTGCTGACGCCAACCACCAAAAGAAATGAAAGCTGTCAGAGACAAGCAATTGAAGACAGGCACAAGCAAACACCCTTACCCACTGAATTATCTCCTCCACCCTCAAAGAGTGTGTGAGTGTGTGTGTGATTTTATGTGTATGGGTGTTTTGACAGCATATCACATGTGTGCCTGATACTCACTGGAGCTCAGCAGAGGGTAGGGGATCCCCTCAAACTGGAATTAGATATGGTTTTTGGGAACTGGAACTGGGTACTCTGGAAGAGCAGCTAGTACTCTTAATCTTTAAGCCATTTCTGCAGTCACAGCCAAATGTTTTATAAGTATCCTTATTGTGACTTTTCCTTTGGTTTATGGATCATTTAGAAGTGGGTTTAATTTTTTTGTTTATATGAAGACAGGATTCCAGCATCTACATCAGCAAGCTTACAACCACACTGACTCTAACTCCAGAGAATCTGACTGATGCCTCCAGCCTCTACAGGTATGTATGTGTGTACACGTACATGTACACACACACACACACACACACACACACACACACACACTAACACAGAACACAGACACATAATTTAAAAATACAATATAAGGGAGGGAGGGAAGATGGTTAATCTCAATTATTATTTTTTATAAGATTTAGAATCACCAGGGAGCCAGTCCTGCGTAAGCCTGTGCGGGAATATCTTTGATTTCATCAACTGAGGTTGGAAGACCTGACCACTGTGGATGACACTACTCACTGAATGAGATTCTTAACGAAATAAAACAGAGAAAATGAGCTAAGCACTAGGATGCATTTATCCCTCTGTTTCCTTTTTCTTTAAATTAAATTTTATGTGCACTTGTGTTTTGCCTGCATTCATGCCTGCATGAGGGTGTCAGATCCCCTGGAACTGGAGTTACAGACAGTTGTGAGCTACCATGCAAATGCTGAGAATTGAACATGAGTTCTCTGGAAGGGCAGCCAGTAAGTAACCTTAACCACTGAGACATCTCTCCAGTCCCACCCCACTGTCTCTTTATTGTAGATGTCATGTGACCAGCTGCTTCAAGCTCCTGATGCCTTGCCTTTCCTGTGATGATTGATTGTCCCTTGAATAGTGAGCTAAAATAAATCCTTTCTCCCTTAAGGTCTTTTGCCAGAATATTTTATTATAGCAAAAGAAAAAGAAACTAAAACTAAACATACAACAAATCCTACAAAATAAAAATAAAAGGATAACCTGAGTAACTTCACATGAATACATTTAACAAAATATACACAAACTTCCTGAAAATTAGCAAGAAGAAACATTTCCTAGTTTATTCTTTTGTAAAAAACACATCTATTTCCTAACTTATTCTAAGACACCAAAACAATACAAAGCAAATTTACAGACTAATAATATTCTTCACAATCACAGACATAGTATTCTTTTTTTTCTTGGTTTTTCGACACAGGGTTTCTCTGTGTAGCTTTGGAGCCTATCCTGGCACTTGCTCTGTAGACCAGGCTGGCCTCGAACTCAGAGGTCCGCCTGCCTCTGCCTCCCAAGAGCTGGGATTAAAGGTGTGCGCCACCAACGCCAGACATAGTATTCTTAACAAAACAAAAGCACACTGGAGTCAAAGCAGCAAAAGCACTTACTTGCTGCTTTCCTAAATGACCTGGATTCAATACCCAGCACCTACATGGTAGCCGACAATTGTCTGTAATTCCCTCTTCTGTCCTCCATAAACACCAGGAACGCAAGTGATGCATAAGTATTTATGTAGACAAAACACACATACACATAAAAATAAATCTAAAAAGAAAAAAAAATTAAAGAATGATGTAACACTTGTGAACTAGAGGACATAATAGCTGTTAAGATGCCTATTCTCAGCCAGGCGTTGGTGGCGCATGACTTTAATCCCAGCACTCGGGAGGCACAAGCAGGCGGATTTCTGAGTTCGAGGCCAGTCTGGTCTACAGAGCGAGTGCCAGGATAGGCTCCAAAGCTACACAGAGAAACCCTGTCTCGAAAAACAACAACAACAAAAAAAGATGCCCATTCTCAAGCTAAGTATGATGGCACACACCTTTAATCTTAGCACTCAGAGACAGATCTCTGTAGGTTTGAGGCCAGCCTAGTCTACAGAATGAGTTCTAGGATAACCACGGTCTACAAAGAGAAACAATGTCTCAAAAGAACAACAAAAAGAGAAAATACAATACTTGACTTTACAGGCAATCAAGCTATTGTTTTTAATAGTTTTAAAATTTTTATTTATTTATTATGTATATAGTATTCTATCTACAGGCCAGAAGAGGGCACCAGATCTCATTACAGATGGTTATGAGCCACCATGTGGTTGCTGGGAATTGAACTCAAGAACTCTGGAAGAACAATCAGTGCTCCTAACCTCTGAGCCATTTCTCCAGGCCCCCAATCAAGCTATTTTTATAAATATACTTCATGAACTCCTTCCATCCATCTACAGAAAGAGTTTATGACTGTGTGTTCCAAGAGAATATTCTTTAACAGCAAAAATTGGAAGTTAAAAATGTATTATGTTCATAAAGGTGACTAGTACACAGCAACAAATCTCAATTACAATTAATGAATACTATAGGACTATGGCTATAAAATTCAAAACATTTGGAAAAATCAAACTACATTGTCTAGATATAGATGCTGAAGTGCTATCATTAACAGAAGTGATAGTGGAAAGAAGGAAGGTAATCAATCAACAGCTCAACAGGAAGGCAATCCTAAGGATCAGGTCTACAGAAGAACCTGAGCTGAGGAGTATCACTTGACTTCTCGATCTCTGTGGTAACAGTCAACACCAAACACATCTACAACCACAGGAAGCAACCAGGCTAACTCACCAGTAAGAACAGACTCAGAAAACACAAACAAGTCTTTTCCTTCCTTCCTTCCTTCCTTCCTTCCTTCCTTCCTTCCTTCCTTCCTTCCTTCCTTCCTTCCTCCCCCCCTCCCCCCCCCTTAAGACAGGGTCTCATTATGTAGTCCCAGTTATATTGGGCCTCTCTATATAGACCAGGCTGGTCTCCAACTCAATGAGAGCTAGCTAGCTGCCTGTCTGTCTCAGTAGTGCTGGCATTAAAGGTGTGTGCCATCATACCCATTAAGCCAAATTTTCTATTGAGTACATAATAAGAACACCTAAAACACACCAAAGATAGAAAAGAAAGGATATAAGAAGAAGGGGAGAAGATGGGAGTAGGGGAAAAAACTATAGATGAACATGAAAAGTCAACTTCAGGAGGAGGGTGCTTCCATGAGACTCCCACACGAAGTGTAAGGATTCAGTAACTCCAGCATGCTCACTCAGTGTACAGCCTGAAACCATGTAGAACAAAACTGGAACTACTTATGGGGGGAAGGGGGCAAAAAGACACAAAGAATAAGAGATTTTTAAGTGCTCTAACTCAGAAATTGGTAGATTAAGCGTGTGTTTGTGCAAACACACACACACACACACACACACACACACACACACACACACACACACACACACCCCAAGACTGGAGAAAAACCCCTGACAATGGGCAAAGAAACACCTTGTGGAGGTGTTGTTTTTATATCAGCCAGAGGCAGAGCAGATGGCAGTCCTTTGTTCATCCTAGTTTTGATGCCTGACTTGGTAGCCAAAGCTGTTTCATGCCTAGGGTACATAAAAAAAAAGACTGGAGAAAGGACTTAAGCACACAGTTCATAAACAGCTATAGTAACTAACAGATGTACACAGAGCCTTCCACCTAGGTCAGAGAAGTGTTCTTTTTAGACACACATGCAACATTAATAAAACTTAACCACGGGTCAGAATTAGCAAATGCTGCTGATTGAATACAGAATCACTAATACATACCACAATTTCCAACCATACAATATCATAATAGAATCATTACAGAAAGACCAGGAAGCTTAGCTGGCCAATGTTCAGGCTGAAGTCAGTAATAATAGGTGTAAAAGGGCTGGACCTGTGAGATGGCTCCAAGCCTTGACAACCTAAATTCAATCCTTGGAACCCACATGGTAAATCAACTCCTACAAGTTGTCTTTGGACCATGGCATGAGTGCAATACGCACGTGTGTGCACATTCTCTCTCTCTCTCTCTCTCTCTCTCTCTCTCTCTCTCTCTCTCTCTCTCTCTCCCCATCCCTCCCTCCCTCCTTCCCTTTTGCCTGTCATCTTTTCTAGTCTATCTTGTGCAGTTTCTCAATAAAAGGAAGAAATGGCTGATCCTACAGCAACAAGGATGCTCTCAAAAGCACTGTGCCAAATGACACAACTTTATGGCACTAAGGAAAATTCAGAACTGTGAGGATAATAATAAACTCCAAAATATACTGAAGCCTAATAATCTGAGTTGAATTCCTGAGACATATAACTCCAAGCTATCCTCTAACCTCCATACCACATTCTGTGGCTCCCCTAAACATAAACACACACACACACAATTTTAAATGGAGAAAAATAGATATAATGGATGAAAAGAGGTACCTGCATAGGTGGCTAATGCTCCTCCCCATAAGTCAGGGGTTATTAAACAAAAATCTCAATAGCAGTTGTGAGATATGACCCCCAGAATCTCCCCAAACCATACAGGCTAATGCTACTGCTTTTGATCATCCCCCAAACTAGATCTAAGACCCTATTGCTGAAGGTATTACATACCTTGATTGCACGACATAGAAAAATCAAGCTGGAACTAAGCTAACGGCTTCCTCCATGCTAGCTAGGTTTCATAGTGATGGAAAGTCTTGTGCTATGTAAAAGCCAATGAGGCAGAAATGTCAATGACATCACCCAGATTTAAACCCTATGAGCTACAATTAATTACCTGCCAGACAATATATACCCACTGTAGCCATAATGACATTGATAGTAACCAACTACTTCCTGACTGGGTATGAGACCTACTCCACAGGAGGGACTCCATGCTTGGTACTCTAAACCAGGTCAACAGCCGATGACTGGAGAAGTCTTATTCCCTAGAGGGAAATCTACTACTGTTTTGCCAAATAGACATATTATCAGACTACTTCCTAAATACCAATATGCATATCTACATATCAATATTGCTCCCACTCTTGGTAAGAGAGGTTTTTTTGCAGTGGGCAGCAGTCAATGTATACACTCATACTGATCGAGGTGCTGAGAGACTAAGTGACTGTTGAATGTTTAACTCTAAATATGACATCTATGTGTCCTCAATCAAGGTTCAGCAAATATCACAGAAGAGGTAGAAAGAATGTTAAGAGCCCCAGAATGAGGAGGAGTACTATGAAACACTGTTTTCTGGACATGGCATGATTGTTATAAGCTCACTGTAGCTGTGCTTACCTGCACAATATGGGGACCATCAACATTCCATCATGGATTGGGAAGGGGCTCATAAGGCTTCCATCTATCCCCAAAAAGCTACTGGTAGTTAATGGTTGCTGAGAAGAGGGTGTCATTTTCTTCACTGGCACAGCCACTGTTAAGTTGCTCATGCTCCAGTAACTAAGTCCCACTTCCAATACTCATGTCAATAACCCTAATCAAACCTCCTGGGTCATCAAAAAAACATACATGAAAATAGGAAGAGGAGTTAACCCTAATCAAACCTCCTGGGTCATCAAAAAAACATACATGAAAATAGGAAGAGGACTTGTGAAAGGTTTTTTTTTGGGGGGGGGGAAGGATAAGCAAAGGTAATTGGAGGAAGGGGAAATGATCAAAATTTAATATATACTTGTATAAAACTGAAAGAAAAAATCTGAGAAGAAAATTTCAGACTGATTATGCTCTGAATCTCTGGTGAGGAGATTGCAGGGCTTTTCTTCACTCCTTTGCTTATCTATTTGATTACTCATTAATATAAATATCATAAGCACCAAATATATCAAATCATATATTACTCTTGGTTAAAACATACATAAAAATAAATAGCTGTGTTCATGGAGCTTATACTACAGTGAAGAAAATAAATTGCATAAGTGAAATATTTAGACTCTTAGTACTAGAGCTAAAGGGACTGGAAAGATGGCTCAGAAATTAAGAGCACTGGATGCTCTTCCTGAGGTCCTCAGTTCAATTCCCAGCAACCACAAGGTGGCTCACAACCATCTATAATGAGATCTGGTGCCCTTTTCTGGTCTGCAGGCATGCATGCAGACAGAATATTGTATACATGATAGATAAATAAATCTTTTTTTCTTTTTAAGGAAGGAAAAGAAAAAAAGAAATAGAGCTAAGGAAAAGAGACAAAGAAGGAAACAGGGCTTGTGGGAAGGAGTTGAGAGGAACACTAACTTCTAGTTCGACCAGCACAGACCCAAGGATTAGTTACTAAAACTCTGCCACTAAGACTGGCATTGAAGTGGCGGGGTTGTCTTCAAGGAGCCCCTGGCTGCTCGGCCAGATGAATGGCCAATGAGGAAAAGGACTAGGCCTAGGAGAGGTGGAGAGCCATCCATACTACAGCCAAATGCTTCTCAAACTGCCACTAGGACTAACCTGAAAACAGAAGGTTTGCTGCCTGTTTCTGAACATAAGAAGCAAGGGATCAGAAAAGAAGACAGCTTCTTGTATTGAGCAATCAAAAGGAAAGAAGAAAAAGAGTAAATTAATAAAAAGAAAGGGAATAACCTTGGATATGAGAAAGGCTGAAAAAGCCATCTCCTAGAATACAGAGATATGAAAGTCTAATAGGAACAGCAGTCACATTCACTAAACCTTAACCTATGTCAAAAATTAGAGCAAGCCTAATGGCCTCAAAGTCTCCAGTAAGAGAAGGCCTAGAATTAAGGAGGGGGGAAGGTCAGGTTTCAGAAGTACATCACAGAAATAATTTTTAGACATTTACCAGTACATGGAATTGTCTAGAACTGAACACATAAAAGTCTTACTAGCTTTTCAGTAAGAAACCCTAAGGCAAGATGTAAAAGCCAAAAGCACCAAACAGGTGGCCCACTTGCTGACTGCAGGTAAGGAAGCAGATGCTCTCTATTTGCTGGTATGGTCAGCAAAGGCCAGAAGACACATGCCAGAGAGTGAGCATGGGCCAAAAGATAGTATGGGAGGAAGCATTCCAACAACAGCTGGAGATCCTTTCCTTGCACTGTCAGTTAGCCCACCACCCACAAGAGAGGAGCAAGAAGCCCACTGAAGCTGCAGCCACTCACCGGCTGGTCAGGACCGCTGTTCCTCTCCTCCTTCTCCACAGTCCTCCGGCAGTCTGGGCATACCCACAGCGGCAGGTGCAGCACGCTGTTGCCCTTGGGAGCCATGGAAAGGGCCAATTTGCTCGCAGTCTTAACTCCACTCTCTAAGAATGAAGAGTCTTTCCGTTCACTTCTGCATAGAAGACAATAATCCCCAGCGGGGTAGGGTGGTGTCCTATGATTCATGCCAAAACTAAAAGGAGTCTGGAATAGAAAAAAAATTCTATGTTCAAAACCTGAACCAGGAAGCCAAGATTAGTATATTTATATAGAAAATCAAAATAGGAAACACATGAAGCTGAACCTTGTATTCTAGAAACTGGTGGTATTTAAAATAAAATAGTAACACCATAAAGAAGCACTTCACCCTTCACTTAGATTTCTGCATTACTTCTGCCAGGAAAACTCATCAACACAGATCTTCAGACCTCAACCAGGCATGAAACCACCACATAAGGGCTTGCACTAAGGCAGCAGCTCTGGCTTGAGAGTATCTCTGAAGAGGGCCAGCCCTGGTCTAGACTCCAGAGAACAAAGACTCTCATGGTAACTGTAGATCCCCAAGACCCAAACTCCCAGGCTATGTGATCATAATAGTGAATTTATAGCCTAATTTCAACAGCTGCCTTTCCAAGACTATGGGGTAAATGTAGGAGTAGGGGCCTGAAGTAAAGGATCCTCTGCCTTTGGAATACACAAAGAAGCTTGGGTTTGGAAATAGACTTAAAGTACCAAGACCACCAAGCAGGGAGCAAGATTTTAAGTCAAAGCAGAAAACTTAGATGGAACCTCCTATAGCATTACTGTCCATCTGCTGAGGGACACCTACAGACACAGGACAGTCCTAGAAGGCAGAAAACAGATTGTAGGAGCTGGCCTGGCACAGAGATTCAGCACACTACAAAGGCATACAGTTACAGTCTTTGCCTCTTAAGCCTCTCCTTCAATGCCATCACATGGGAAGGAAGAACATCTCATTCTTCTATAGTACTCAGCTGGCCTTGCCAAGCCAGTTCCTCAGATCTTTCCTTAACTCCCATGGCTCTTCCTGAACTATCATCAATATTCAACCTGACTATGAGTGTGCACTAATACACACAACTGACCCATAACAATCCAGAGCTCCCAAATGGGCCCGAGGCTGCACAGAGGCACTGAAGCTGAAATCTGGAGCTAAGTAAATGAATTAATGAGTGAAGCAAAATCTTTCAATCTTACATGCTCCGATAAATCAGTGGTTGAAACAGTATGTACCCATTGTACCCACATAGTTTGAAGGGCTTTACTAGGCTAAGCTTAGCAGCTATTTCAGTGTGTGACAGGGTGAGGAGATTCCCCAGTTAGGGCCTGCAAACATCCAAAAAAGAAAAAAAAAACAGCACAAGAGCAACATCTTTTTCCTATAAGAAGAGACCTGGAATGTCTACATTATGAGAATTTCAAAACTCAGTGCACTTAAACCTGC